AGTGCTGGTTTGGTGCTAATATATTCCCTTAGTCCCCACCCCCCCACCCCCCCTTTTTTTTTTTGGTCTAGGAAGCTCTTTATTTCACCTTCTATTTTGAATGTTAGCCTTGCTGGATAGAGTAGTGTTGGATTAAAATCTTTGTTTTTCATTACCTTAATTACTTCATGCTATTCTCTTCTGGCCTGTAGTGTTTCTGTTGAGAAGTCAGCTGATAGCCTTATGGGGGTTCCTTTGGAGGTAACCTGTTGCTTCTCTCTTGCTGCCTTTAGGATTCTTTGTCTTTAATTTTTGGTACTTTAATTATTATGTGTCCTGTTGTGGGCCTGTTTTGATTCTTCTTGCTTGGGGCACTCTGTGTTTCTTGAACTGTGTACCTTTTTTCCTTCACCAAGTAAGGGAAGTTTTCTGTCCATATTTCTTCAAATATATTCTCTAACCCTTGCTCATATTCTTCTACTAGAATTCCTACGACTCAGATGTTATGTTTCATATTTTCCCACAGTTCTCTTAAGCTGTCCTCTGTTTTTTAATTTTTTTTTTTCTTTTTGGTTTTCTGATTGGGTGATTTTTTTTTACCCAGTCTTCTAATTCACTGATCTAGTCCTCGGCCTCCTCTACTCTGCTGGCTTTTCATTTCCAATTGATTTATTTTCAAAGTTTCTATCTTTACTCATGCCCTGGAGGTTCCTTATTATCATCAATCTGAACTCTACCTCTGATAACTTTCTTAACTGCATCATTTAGCTCTTCTTCAGTAGAGTTCTCTTGTTCTTTCACTTGGGATGTTTCTTTGTTTCACCATTTTGGCTGTCTCAGTAGGTTTTGGAGCCTGCCAAATTTTCCCTGTGGGTGTTGGTGTTCTGATTGTTGCTCCTTCTACTGGGTTTGGTTGAGTGTGAAGGACCCACGTTAAACAGTTAAAAACTGTCAAGTCTTACTTTACTGGGTAGACTGGCAAGCCCAGGAAAGGTTCAGTTATCCTCAGGCTTTTGTCCTGAAGGATATTAATCTCAGTTACTTGATGAGTCTTGGGTTGTAGCCCTCAACTGAACATAAAAATCCCTCAGGTGTAAGAGGATTTCCATTGGGTAGGGCAGATGCTCACTGTCTGTTAATGAGCCTCAGTTTGCATTTCTCTATCCTGGCCAGGTTGTGTTAACTTCCTGAGGAAAGTTCTATTGTTTCTCCCTGGGGCTCTGAGAAGGGGCTTATTGAGTAATATGGCTACCGTTCTGTGAAGGAGTGATTCAGTACAAAACTCCCATTGCTCCCCCAGCTCTTCAAGCTCCTGAATGTCTCCACTCAGTTCCAGTCCAGTCTGTCCTCCTTCTGCGAGAGCCCAAGGTTAGTAGCTGTAGCTAACTTAGTGTTCTGTCCTGGCCCTCTGCACTGTGCACCCAGCTTGGGATTTTAACTCCAAGGGAGTTGCTCACAGCTAAAACAGCTGCTGTCTGTGGGTTCCCACCCCTATCCTATATGCTAAAATCTTAAAAAGCCTAATCTGTTTCCTAATCATATATTTATAAGTGATGACATCAGCTGTTGGCATTTTACTGCAAACTAGATGGAGTAGAGCTAAGAATGCGATCTGTTCTATTTGTATTTTGGGTTTGGACAGCACTTAACTTCAGATGTCCCAACCAAAAATACAAGTTTGAATTCATAGATAGTTCTTTGGCTCCCCTCCTCTGTGAAAACTTTAGGCACTGACTACCTATAAAAGTGCATCTTACTTCTCACCTTCTACTGGAAGAAAAGTGTTCAACCACATCCACATCCCTAGTATTAGCATATGTCTTCCAGAACTGTGGAGGTAGCAATTTTGTAATGGTGTTCTGCCCCCAGCCCTGAAGGATAAGCAGGAAGGGGCATGAATGGCTTTGGCTTCTACCAAGTGGCTTCAACAGTTGACATTTGTACCTCTTGTATATACTGAGTTGAAAAAGTGTTCTAATGCTTATTTTTACAAAGTTTGAAAATTGCTGGTTAAATGCAAAGAACATGGGCTTGGGAGTAAGTTGCACTAAAATATCCTGGATAATTTTGGGATCTGAGGCAAATGATACCTACTTCAGTGACAGATGAGAACCATGAAAATGTAAAGACAAAGCCTGGTGTGTTTTTCATGATATTTATTTCTCATGCCCTTCCTGTGTGTTTTTGGGGATACGGTTTGACAATTTGGGGACTGGTGACAAGCTGCCTAAGTGTGATTAAATGTGATTTTAAATCTTGGCAAAATTTTTAACCTGAGTTTGTTCCCTAGTTGAAAATAATGCCCACTTCAGAGAGCTGATATAAAGATTACATGAGCCCTGGCCAGTTTCGCTCAGCGGTTAGAGCATCGGCCTGCGGTCTGGAGAGACCTGGGTTCGGTTCCTGCTAAGGGCATGTACCTTGGTTGCAGTTTGTCCCCGGCCCTGGTTGGTCGTGCAGGTGGCAGCCATTCAATGTGTCCCTTTCACGTCGATGTTTCTCTCTCTCTCTCCCTTCCACTCTATCTGTGCAAAAAATGGAAAAAAAATGTCCTCGGGTGAGGATAAAAAAATAAATAAATAAAAGATTACATGAGAAAATCCCTATGAAAGGGCTAAGACTGTACCTAATACATAGCACTAAAGCACTTAAAAAACATTAGCTAATTCTAGCACTTGTATAATAGGGTTTCAAGTAATGACTCCTGCCTTACTAGTTTTTTTTTGTTTTTTGTTTTTTATCCTCACTGAGGACATTTTTCAATTTTTTTGTTCAGATAGAGTGGGAGGGACAGAAAGGAAGAAAGAAACATCAATGTGAAAGGGACACATTGAGTGGCCGCCACCCGCACGACCCAACCAGGACCGGGGACAAACTGCAACCGAGGCACATGCCCTTAGCGGGAACCAAACCTGGGTCTCTCTGGACTGCAGGCCGACCTCTAACCACTGAGCCAAACCAGCCAGGGCTCTTTTATTGTGACCTTTCAAGATCATGCCTCTCCCTATCCCCACCCCATGTCTTTCTGTGGTTCTGCTCCATTCCACTATGTTATTTAAAGATAGCTGTAACTCAAAATTTTGCATCTGGAAACAACTTGCAGAGGCTCCTAATTTGTAGTAAGACCTAGAAAGACATCTACTTATAAAATATGGCCTGAAGACTAAGACAAGATTTGGGGGAGAAAGAGAAAAGAGGCTCACAGATCCCAAATCATTCTTCCTAGGCAAAGTCAGAAGTCAGAGCTACATTCACAAAACAAAAAGGTTTTATTTTATCACACAGCATACTATACCACAGGGTGTGTAAACCAAGCAGAGACTAATCTGCTTTAAAGAACTGTAGTTCAGCAAGTTTCCTATTCTGGAAGTCATTAAAATGATCCATGTGTAATCAATACTAATGCATAAATCAAAAATTCACATTCAGGTCATGCAAAGACTATATTAAACAGTAATTAAATTATGACTCAAATTTTAAAAAAATAAATGATTACAAACTCTATAAAAAGTTGATCTAAAGTATTAATTGCATGGCTAGTTTTTCAGAATTTTGTTTTATTTTGTGTTTCCTTTACTTAGGTGGAGTTGACAAGTAATGCTATATTAGTGTCAGCTTATGGCTGGTTTTAAAAACTCATGGTATAGCCTTTACAAGCATTCCAGAATGTGATGACAAAAGTTAATATCAATGCTCCCTATTAACTGTTTTACTACCAGATAAAAATTAACTTGAAGTACTCTAATTATTCTAATCTACCTAAAAAAATTTCTCATATATTCCTCCATATAACATAGTCTTAGAATTTGAGGGAATATAAAATGTCAGGATGTTTTCTCTACCTCAATTTCCCAACAGTAAAAAATAAGTAATGTCGCTGTTGTGGTGGTGGTGGTGGTGAAATTAAAAGTGCAATTTGTGAAATGAAGAGTATTATATAAATTTAAAAAATTATAATGTGGTATCTGCCATTTGCCCCAACTTTCACCAAATGCTTGCTCTTGTTTCTTGACTCCTACTCAAACTTCAACACTAAGAACAGTACTTCCTCCTCTAAGAACCATTATCTGACCTCTTCAGGTTCCCCTTCCCTCTACTCCTGCAGCACCTTAAGCTATCTTTACCTCTGACTACAGGGGACAGCACCTGCCAGTGGATAGGTATGAACATGGCCGCAAGTGTACATGGCCAGCATCAGAGCTAGGGGCCACCACTACCATCACTCCACATGCTCTATGTCCAAGCCCTGCATGTTTCACCTGTTCCCTCTGCCTTTCGCTGGCAAAGTAGATACTCCTCAAAATGGACATCAGGCTTCATTCAGAAAATCCAACATTTTTCTCTTTTTTTAAATACCCAATGGTCTGTTTATTTTACTACCGCCTACCTGGAAATACACATAGAAACTCAGAGCTGAAATGCTTTTGAAGAAAATTTATAAATGTACTTTTGTTAAAAAAAGATATGGTATGAGAAATAAAGAATCAGAATATTTGAGGAACAGTATGATAGTTTGATGTGATGATAAAGATAAAAACAGAATCTTAAATTTTGGTCACACTAAAAGATGAATATTTGGATGTGTGGTAAGCAAACAGGGTAAAATGTTAGTGGCAGGATCTAAGTGGTACTTATATGGGTGTCCACTGCAAAAGTCTTTCAACTTCACCATATATCTGAAACTTTTATAATAAAATATTGGAAAAAATTCAGGCCACAGAAGCTACTAGGTTTAATAAGCTCACCTATATCGCTTAGACAACTTGCTCAAATTCCGTAAGTCTCTATTTACATACTAGACAAGGGAATCATGTTTGTCTCATTTACCTTACAGTGCTGCTGTGTGGATGAAGTAAGGCAATATAAGTGAAATCTCAGTACCTGTTCTGTTTGCTAAAGCAGACAGCCTTCTGGAGTTGGGACTAAGGGTATAGACCCATCATGTTCCCTCTAGATTCACCCTGGTAAACACACGAGGATGTCTTTAAGTTTTCTTCTCTTCACAGTTTCTCAAAACCTACCGTTTGTTCTCTGTCTCCAAGCACACAGTCATTTTCATGTACTGATCTTCCTTTCGCTCTTCCAAAGTGGCAGACACAAGAGAAAGTTCCCCAAAGAGAGAGACCAGCCAGGTCAGGCGAGAAATGCCACTGAATGCAGGGAAGCCAAACCGCTCTTCTTCCAATGGGCCAGCTATGGGAAATTACAAACACTGTGGGAACTGGGAAGTAAAGGACCAACAGCTGGAGAGCAGGGGTAGGACATACATAGGACATACATGACAGGGAGTAAACAATGTGGCTGAGTAATTAGGACAATACAACCTTGCTTTACCACATGGGTGTGCAAGATGACTAATAATACTGATGAAAACTCAGGTACTTGAATATAAACCCTTTCATAAAAGTGTCTCAATGTTTTCTTGTTTATTACATTTAGTTTTGTTAGTATAATAAAACATTTTATTAGAAACAGCAGCCCACTTAGTCCACGTGATAATAGAAATGTTTCAGGCTTATAACATGCATATGTGTGTATGTAGACATACATATACTTATACACACATATATATACATACATATATAGCCTCTTCAGTTAGTGACTTGAAGAATAAAAAACCAACATATTTAGCTCCTCAAGCCTTATGTTCCAATATCTACCATATATATCTGTGTACATGACAAGAAGGTAAAAGTTTACGGTAACAGTGAAGAACAGTGTAATACCCACAAACTATTTCAATATCAAGAAAGTTTGATACAGTGTTGTTTTCTTAATCTTAATAATTTCCAGAACAAAATAATATTCAAAAGAGTATCTGTATGATAAATCTAATCAAGATATAGCTACTCTCTGTCCCCAGTCTAAATTTTATTTTATTTTACTTTTTTGTTTATGGTTAATTTTCTTTTCAGGTAAACTTCACATACAGTTAAATGCACAGATATTAAAGATATCATTGAATGAGATCCAACACATATAAGCCTAAATCTGTCAAGGTACAGATAGTACCCATGTGCCCCACCCCAGGTAACCTGTGCCCCTCACTGGCATCCCCCAGAGGGAGTACACAATGTGTGTAAAGATCTAAAAAAAAAAAAAACTAATCTCTGGTTAGAAAAATCAGAAATCTTATGGCTTCCATTGTTTTAAAGATAATTCAGTTGTCATTTAAATCATTAGTCACCTGAATTTTTGGTGCCATTTATCTTTGGTTGCTTTTGAGATTTTCCCCTTTATCTTTGTATTTAGAAGTTTGACTATAACATACCTAAGTGTAATTATCATTGTCTCTTGTTGGAGACTCAATGAATTTCTTAAATCTGTAAATCGATGTCTCTCACCAGATTGAGGTAATTTTCAGTTATTGTTTGTCCAAATAATTTTTTTGCCCATTTTTATTCTCTTCTCCTTCTGAGACTCCAATTATACATATTGTAGACCTTTTGATATTGTATCCTAGGTCCTGAAGCTCTGTTCATTTTTGTTTCTGTCTTTATCTCTCTGATTTGAGACTAAATAATTTCTATTGATCTGTGTTTAAGTTCACTGGCTTTTTAAAAATTAAAAAAAAAATTTTATTTCTTAATTTGTTTTTGTTACAGATGTTTCTCATTTTTCCCCAATGACACCCTCCTCCCTTCCCCCCACCCCATCCCAGTCTAAATTTTAAACATAACTTAGATTTAAAGGACTTCATACCTATTACATTGCTCTATAAACCAAATATTTCTTATACTTTTGATACTAAATTAAAGCAATTCATAATTATTAGTATGTTTTTAAAAAGATAAGTCATAGTTCTGGCCGGTTTGGCTCAGTAGTTGGAGCACTGGCCTGTGGCCCAGAGACTTCTGGGTTTGGTTCCCGCTAGGGGCATGTACCAAAAAAAAAAAAAAAAAAAAGATAAGTCATAAATAAAAGCAAACAGACTTCCATTCAATATGGTGGAATAGGTAACTGCTATGTGAGTCTCTTCCCATTACATCAAAATCACAAATAAATTATAGAATAACCATAAATGAGAACCACCCAAAGAGTAGCTAAATATAACTCCTATAAGTAAGAATATAAAGAAGAAGCCTCCTGAGACCTGTGGGGGGTGGAGGTGGGGTAGAGACAGGTATGAACATGCCCCATGTCCATGTTGTGGCAATTAAGAAATGGGAGGGATATCTCAGCTGTGGAGAGTCCCTGAGGAGCAAGCAGTCCCAGCCCCACACCAGGCTCCCCAGCCTAAGGCTCCAGAGCCATTAAAAAAAGTCCCCACAACTTCTGACTGTCAAAGCCAGTGGGGATGGCAGGCGAGTGAGATGGAGGGCTGTTGGAAACCTATGCACTGATTCACTTACAAAAATGCATTTGTTCTGAGCTCTAGCACAGGGGCAGCAGCTTGAAAAGTGCTAGGGACATACAAGGGGAGCTACATTAACTAACTTTAGGGCAGGGGCTGGAGGGGCAGATATTAGGACAGCTCAACACAGAGGCAGAAGTGCTGGCAGACACCACTGTTCCTTTGTTGAGCCTTCCCCACACTCAACCTGCAGGCTCAACGGGCACAATATCTAAGCTATCCATTAAATTGCTTAACACCAGTCACCTTTCCCTGGTGTTTCCCAGTCAGTCCTGACTGACCCAAATCATGGCTACCCCAACCTCTTCCAGTGGCTTTGCAAACAAACTGTCTGCGTCAGGTCATAGTATGCATGTTCCTAAAATATCTCTAAGGTTCAAAAATACCAAACAAATAGCATCTGGCCCCAGTATGTTTGCTACCAATTACTAAGCTGCTTCAAGCAAGAAACTAGTAGAAGCTGGATCAGTTCTCTACTTAGCCTCTCCAAGGCTCTTCCAAGCCAAGCACAGGTGGCATCCTTCTGCAGATCACTTTGTACCTCCTACCAGGTAGACCTGGACAGGACACAGGCAGTGGCTGACCTTGGCCTGAATCAGAGTCCCTCCCAAAAAGGCCCCAGAAACAACATACCAAGTGGCCAGGTTCAGAACAAAACAGAGCACCACCAACCAGTCCACATGCCAAATCCAAAAGATAGGGCCCTGCTAAAACAAATTCTACTCCATGGGGTCAGCACCTACACAACAGCTCATCCAATATAGTCACAGACATTCCTGAGCCAGTCAGCCTCCCACTGACATACCAACAACAATAAAAGCTCAACTACAACAGAAGGGCACACACAATCCACACAAAAGATAAACCTGGAGAAACTGACTAGGTGATAGGGAGATTGCACCACTGGGCTCCACAGGACAAATACCGCATAAAGCCACTCTGCCGAGAACAGAAAATGTAGGAGATCAACCTAATAAATAAAAACAAACACAGAGAGGCAGCATGAATAAGGAGAAAAAGAAATATGTCCCAAATAGAAAAACAGGAAAAAACTCCAGAAAAAAACTTCACAAAATGGAGACAAGCAACCTAACAGGTATAGACTTCAAAACACTGGTTTTAAGGTTACTCAGTGAACTTAGGGGAAGAGCAGATAAACTCAGTAAAAACTTCAACACAGAGATAAGAAAATAGGAAATATAAAAACAAGCCAGTCCATAATGAAGAATACAATATAACTGAAATGAAGAACACATTAGAGAATTAACAGTAAATCAAATGAAGGAGAGGTTCACATCAGCAATTAGAGAAACAAAGAATAAAATACCCAATCGAAACACCAAAAGAAAAAAGAATCAAATGAATAAGGATAGATTAAGAGACCTCTCCAGGACAACATCAAGCATACCAACATTTGTATCATAGAGGTACCCAGAAAGAGAATAAAGACAGCAATAGTTACAAAAACCTATTTGAAGAAATAATGACAGAAAATATTTTCTAACCTGGTGAAGGAAATATAGGAAGCACAGAAAGACCCAAACATGATGAATCCCAAAAGATTCAGACCAGGAAAAATCCTAATTTAACATGCCAAAAATTAAAGACAAAGACAGAATCTTAAAAGCAACAAAAGCAAAGCAGTTATCTACAAGGACCCTCCAATAAAATGTCAGCTTATTTCTCAACAACAAAAAATTGCAGATCTGAAGGGATTGGCACAAAATAACCCAAAGTGAAAAAAAGCAAAGACATACAATGAAGGTTGCTCTACCAAGCAAGGCTATAATTTAGATATGAAGGTGAGATAAAGAACTTCCCAGACAAGACAAGAAATGTATTCTTAAAAGTTCATTGCCACAGTCCTGGCCAGTTACTCTCAGTGGTTAGAGCATCAGCCCACGGTCCAATAAGTTGTGGGTTCGATTCCAGTCAAGAGTACGTACCTCAGTTGTGGTTTATCTCCAGCTCTGGTCTGGTCATGTGGGAGGCAACCAATTGATGTGGCTCTACCACATCGATGTTTCTCTCTCTGTCTCTCTCCCTTCCTCCCACTCTATCTGATGATAAATAGAAAAATATCCTCGAGTGGGGAATTTTAAAAAAAAGGTTCATTGCCACAAACTCAGTATTATAAAAAAAATGCTAAAGGGACACCTTTAGAAAGAAGGAACAAAATGTCAAAATATGAATAAGAAAAATGGAATCAACTACCTACCTATCAGTAATTACTTTATTCTTTTTTTAAACTTATCTTTATTGTTGAATGTATTATAGATGCCTCCCCTTTTTTCCCCCTTGACCTCCTCCTCCCCAATCCTGCCCCACTTCTGCCTTCCCCACACTATTGTCTGTGTCCACTGGTTACGCATATATGCATATAAGTTCTTTGGTTTATCTCATCCCACCCTCCCTCCCCCTTCCCTTTGTGGTTCATCAGTCTAGCAACCAATTTGTATCTCTTAATTCCTTCATCTTTTTCACTAATCCCCCCTAACCTCCTCCTATCTGGCAAGCAACAAAAAGGTCTCTATCTGTTTCTGTTCTGCTTGCTCATTTTGTTTGTAGATTCAGTTGTTGATAGACATGTATTGATTGCCATTTTATTGTTCATATTTTTGTTCTTCTCCTTCAAGAAGACCCTTCAACATTTCATACAATACTGGTTTGGTGGTAATGAACTCCTTTCTTGTTTGGAAAACTCTTGATATGTCCATCAATTCTAAATGATAGCTTTGTAGGACAGAGTAATCTTGGTTGTAGGTCATTGCTTTTCATTACCTTGAATATCTCTTGCCACTCCTTTCTGGCCTGCAAAGTTTCTTTTGAAAAATAAGCT